CTCAAATGAACTGATATTGTTGTGATAGAGAACTCAAATTAAGTGATATAAATTATTCTCAATTACTTTAAGAATCAGAACATTTGTTGTGAGGAAATGGTTCATTGTGGAAATTGTAGTGCTTCACTGCAATAAAGAATGTATCAAAATTTTTAAACAAAACCCAAAGTTAGAAGGCATTATTATCATTTTTTTCTAGAGCAGAGCCAATATTGGGTTAGAAAAAAATGGTAGCATTCATCCCCTTGGATTTAGCCAACACCTCAATCTTTTCTACTAAACCTTTAACGGCATCTTTGACAAATCAACCAGCAAAATTAACCAGTTTCAATGTCACTATCTTCCTTCCTCTCTTTACCATAAAAGATGAACAAACAGTCAAATGACCAAACACACAGGCAACTCATTCACTAATTTATTTACTAAATATGTCTGCAGTCCTACTATGTGATGGGGACTAGGCTGGGTACTAGTTATCACTGGTGATAAAGAGATCCCTACACTTTGGAAATCAAGAGTCCAGAAGGGGCTACTAGTGTATCAGTGACCAAAATAAGCAAGAAACCTAGTTAAATAATACTCAGATAATTAAGACTTAAGAGTAGAAAATATAGTTCTATATTATTTCATCAATGATGCTATTGAAATGTTTTCTATTTCGCTTACCTTAAAAGTCTCCTTTATAAACCCACAAATAACCTGATGTGCCTGAGAATACCCATTATAAGTACAATTTGTGATATGTTGCCAATTCTATTGTTATAAAATATCAAGCAGCAAGCTGATTTTGAAGTATTGACAATGAGTAGAGAGTATAGTCCTATAAATGCATTGTATTATTTCATATACATCATTAAACACCTAGTTTTTAAATATCTCCTGGATGGGACACATATCCAGTATAATATGACATCAATTCCATATTATTTTGATTTAGTCTATACCATTTTTGACTACTAATTTTTTTAAAAAATAAAATTTTAATTTAAAAATCTTTTAATCTTGGATGCAAAAAGCAGATTTCAATTAGGATCTTTAAGGTTTAAAGTATTTTGATGGATTATATAGTAATAATAATAAAGTTATACATATGTCACTTTTCAAATAATCTACATATCATAGAAATATATTATAATTATTGTCTCATTATTTCATCTTTTTTTTTGTGACCCAAAAAGCCTTGGGGTCATCCCTATGATTTTAAATCCTAATTATTATAAATGTACCAGTTAATAGAGATTCATATTTAATAAAGGCTATATAGCGAGTGAACTCTACGGCCTTGTGATGTTTAGGGTCTCTTTTCACAAAAATTAATGAATCCTTAGGACACAAAAAACACTTACTGAGCACCTACTACTGGCAGGTTTCTATGATAATCACTCAGTTCTTTTCATACATAGTCTAGAAACTACAGCTTAAGATGAAAGTCAATTAACATTGGATGTCTGATAAAAGACCTACCAATAATCTTTTAGTCCTAAATAAACATAAGTATATACATTTATATATGAATGAAAAGTTTATAACGATGTATTTTAAAAGTATCACTGGAAAAGTTCATGCTAATTTTATGGCACTATCTATACCTTACTGATTGAGAAGACAAATTTCTGCTCATATTTGATGCATATTTTAGTGGACTAATATGTGATCCTGAAATCTGCTTATGTAAATTTAATAGGTAAGATTTGGCTTTAAGTGATAGTCTAGCAAGAACTATTCAATAACATTTTTGTTTTCCAAGCTTTGTTTTTCAGTTATACAATTTAAGTAGTTTAAAAATTACTGAGTTTTATCAAATAATTACTACTGCCAATCTCCTAATTACAAAAATTATTTAATAAAATGCATTATAATAAATATAACAAAAACTACTTTTCAGTACTATTTTCTTAATTGAATGCAACAAATTCTAAGGGCCTTGTATGAACCAGGACAGTCCCTGGAACTGAGCATACAAAAATAAGACATAGTCTCTGCCCTCCAGAAACGTAATGACCAGAAGGGGAATAAACACCCAAATCAATAAATATTTTAAATACAATGTGGCAGAAGTATACGCAGAAAGAAAAGGCCCTTAGCCTACTTGGAGGGAGGTTAGGAACCAGGGAGGGGTGATCACTAGAAGGCACTAAGAGAAGGTCATCAGAAAGAGGTCACCCCTAGAGCCCTCATAGTGGTGATGTCTGAGCAGAGTTTTGAAAGATGAATAGGGATAGTCAGGTAGGGAATGGCGTGAAAATGTTAGCAAAGACATGAAAGTGTGAAGTAGTATATTGGATTATCGGAAGCACAAATGGGAATTTTGAAAAATTATGTTCTACCAAGACCCCATGGCCTTTCTGTGGCTTTTTTTCCTTAAAACTTTCCCATTTTGTCCTCCATATTCTCATAATGGAGGACAAGTAAACTCTACCACCTGGAACTCTCTCTCTGTTAATCTCCAGCACGCAGAACACGGAAAGGGACCTGAAAACAAAAATATGGCTACCACAAAATCCATATAGTGAGAACAGAAGCTGACATCAAGGAGACAAAAATTGTACAATATTCTGGGACTATCTGGTGTAGGGGCATTCAGAATCCCTGCGAGAATATACCACACAATAATACATTGCTTGATGGTCAGAACAGTGACCCAGAGTCACCCAGATAAAGTTGTCTCTTGTGTACCCTGTTTATAAAGCAGTGGGCTGTGTAGTAAATACACTTACAAAGATCTCTATCCAATATTGTTAAAATAGAAAGGTTTTATAGTCAATGAGAAACCCGTCATTATCTATGAAATTCATATTTGTGAACCACCTCATTTCCCAACCATACCAGACAGGAGAGATGTTAATTACAGCACAAATAATAAAATTTATTTTATCTCAGTCTAGACCTTTTAAAAAAAATAATATTTAGCAATTCATAAAGAGTCTTTAGATCAAAAATATTTAGGGTCATAAATTGTGAGAAAAGAAAGAAGTTACAGCTTCTGATTTATTATATGCGTTAACTCTTCATTTTTACATGACAAGATTTCCATTTCAAACGCTGATTACATCTGACGCCTTCACACATAGAAAGTCTCGATAAATGTCTGTTGATGAATTAAATGATAAATGAATTTTTTAAATGATTTTATATGCTGAAGGAATGACTAATGATACACTCTTACATTTCACAATAACTGCAGTATATTCATTTGACCCCCAAATGAGGCAGAAAATAAAACTTTAGGTATTCCATAAAGTTTTCTACTTTCTTACATTGCCAAGAGAGGTATACACTATAGGTCAAATCTCTATTCTAGATTGAGACCAAAATATCAGGCTGATATAAAAATACTTTATTTTAAATATCAAAAACATGAGCTAAATTAGTCAATCTTTGGTGGTTATAGGAAACTAGTTATGTTACTACATCAAATACTCTGTCCTCAAGGACTTGACATTAGAATAGCCAAACTCACATCCTTTATCTTTTATTTCTTGATTTAAATGTTTAAGTTTTGTATTAAGCATACTCTATACTGTCTTTTTCTTCTTCTTTTTTTTTTTTTGCCTACAGTAATCTCATGTTCTTTAGTTTATACATTCTGAATTAAATTCTACACAAGTTTTCATTCCTTTCCTCTTCAGGGAGTCTTCATCCAGGCTTATTTAAAAGTCTTTGTTAGGACACCAATATCCTAAAATATGCTATTTAGTTTCTTTATTTCACATTAAACAAGTGAATTCGGTAGTATTAACATTTACAGAGAGACACTACTATGGATTTACACCATTCTGTACATTACTCTTGATAAACGATATGGAAAAACAGTGATGGAGTATTGATATGTAACTTCATAAAATTAAATTAATTATTTGTAAAAATTAAAGCATGAGAACTTTTTTTAAAAATTATTTTTCCCATAGTATACAGCAGCCTAACTTCTTTTTCCTGTTCCTGGCCAATGAAACCTTTACGTGTTAAAAATTACACTTCATAAACCTTTATTTAAATGTTCGAAGTGCAAAATTTTTAAGTTTTTTAAAACCCTGATAATTCAAAAAATTAAACCATAGTTTTTCATAATATTTAATAATTTCATGTACTCTAGAACTAAAAAGCTGCCAAAGATGAAGGTTCATTGTCAACAACAGATCCTTCAATAATTATGAAGAGATTATTATATCCACAATCTTCACAATATTTATCAAATTAGCGTGGAAATTAGTTAGGTGTCAGTATGTCATTTTTTAATAGAACAAATATTTTTCTCACAAATTCTGATTTTTCTAAATACCACCACCTCCCCTAAGTTTATGACACATCTGCCATTTTCAAGGTTTTAGACACACTTGTTGAGAAGACTATTGAAGAGTTTACAATCACATTATGGAATTTCAGTTATCCCAAAGAAGTACATACTGAAAATGTTTGAGAAGCAAGCATAGTTTTATGACTTTCAAAATTAATTCAAATAAAACTCTTAATGTGACCCTGATTTTTGCCTTTGGTATACAAGGCTCATTAGAAGATCGAGTTCCAAGGGAACTGCAAGTCCCAACCACTTTAAAGTTTACCTTTCCCATATGACAGCATTTACTCTTAGTAGAAAAAAGTAGTCACCTTTCATTCCAAACAGTCACTCTGATTAGCCTAATTCCAATGGACACTGAGAGCATGGACCAAAGAAAAAAAACCATCCAAAAGATTAGTTATTCCACCCCAGGTATGCTCCCATTTCAGGGATGACCCTAAGTGCTTTCCTCTGCAGATTTAGGGTTGACCCCTCATGTCTGACAACCCCCAAGAAATAAAATTGAGAAGTTATCACTTTACAAAGGGCGGGGGGACAGCAAATGAGGGCTGTATGACACGCTTTTCCCTCTGAAATATCTATTTACTTTTGACAAAAGAAATAAATAGAAACAAAACCGAGATTCAGAAGAAACTCTTTCTGCTGCGTGCATCAGTCGAGCTTCTCAAAGACCCCTTAGAAAAGAAGCGGGCAGGAGGCTCACCTTCCATGTCGCTGCCGGGCTGGGCTGGAGCTGCCACTGTGGCTACCCCGCCGCTCCACGTGCTCCTGCCGTCGCCGGGACGCGGCGCGCAGCTGGCGGGAGATTCCCGGCGCGGGGAGTCCCCTGGATCCGGCAGCCGCGTCGGCGCAGATTGAAAGAAAGGGGCAGGAGCCGGCGACCTGCCGGTGCGCGGGGTTACAGCGGCGCTGGCTGGCGGTGGCTTTAAAGGACGCTCACCGCCGAGCGCCGCAGGTTGCGCGCCTCCAGCCACCTTTTGAATGTCAGGAACCCCGATGGAAATGGCGCATCAGTAAATTGTTCCAAAATGTCTATTTCAGCAGGATAATGGATAAGAGAGTAATATCACATTGTGTGTGTGTGTGTGTTGGCGGCGGGGGTGTAGGGGAGGGAGGGAGTCTGCATTGCTGTCTTGGCAAGCTCAACTTCAAAGATGAGAAACTTTTTGTCTAGATTGGGGGATGATAACCATGAAAACCATCAATGAGAATTCACTTTATTCGAAGTATTATTTGTTTTCTTTTCCCTTCCTCAGTTTTTCATTTCACATGATCAAAGTTTTTGGTCCAATTTGGAACTTCGGAAAGTTCAAAAGGCACTTTTCATCAACTCAACTTTTTAATTTTTAGAAGCAATTCTCTCAGTTTTGTTTTCTCTCTGGGAACTACTTGGTTTATTTGCCACCACTCACAAAATACTACTCGCTGTATACAGAGTGTTTAACAGCGTGTATTTTTCTACTACACTGCCTTCTTCCAAATAGGACACCTTGTAAAAATGCATGTATTATATATCAGAAAAGCAAATAAACAAAGTAGGGCTAAAGGGAGGGGGTGGTAAGATAGTAAAATTAACTTAAAAGTGTTAGTACTCCGAGATGTACCAGTCAACATCTTTTTCCAACATCTTCTCCACTTTATAGAGGTAAAGCACACATTTGACTGTAGGGATAGGAACGTGGAAGTGACCACAAAACAGTTTTTCAAAGCAGAATTTTTCTTCACAGTGAGGTCTAAGGGACATTTTTCAGATGAGTCTTTTTTTTTTTAAGAGACAGGGTCTCACTCTGTCACCCAAGCTGGAATGCAGAGGTCTGATCATAGCTCACTGCAGCCTCAAACTCCTGGGCTCACGCAATCCTCCCACCTTGGCCTTCCAAAGTGCTGGGACTACAGGTGCGTGCCGCCAGTCCTGGCTTAGGTGAGTCCTTTTAAAGACACCCAGTGTGTTGAAGTGGAAAATATAAGAATGATTGTCAAAAAGGCCATTGTCACCCCTGTTAGAAAATTATCAGGGTATACAAATATATTTGTGAGATAAGGTTAAGGGTTTGTGGATCAGCTGACCGTATCAGAAGAAATTCACATTTAGAGGTTAAAGTATGCATGCTATAATTTTATGAATTTTAATTTATTTTAAATAGTACTTTTGTATAGGCAGTCTACATAATATGTATATATACATTTAAATGAGTAAATAACTTGCATTGGCATTAAGATCATAGCAACACAGTATCATCTCGATAGCTGTATGAGTTGGAGTTCTGCAGGATATCAATTTTGGAGAAAATACTCTAAACAGTAGGTCTAATTTTAGTTATGAAAGGGGAAATTTGTTGTTTGTTAGTTTCTAAAAGCAAAAATAGCACATCAAAAGTAGCAGAAGAGGAACTGTAAAATTTCACAGGGATGGTGTGAGGATGCATAGTTATTTGGTTATTAAAAAGTTGTGAAGAACATTTATTATCTTCCATTACAATGTTCTTTATGCTTAACAGTGGAATATGTTACTACTCTGTACATCGTTCAATACTGAGAATTTCAGACTCCAGAGAGTGATACCTAAGGGGATAGATAAAAAGCAGATGGATAAAATAATTTATGTAGCTACTCCACCCTCAAGGAGGTGGAGCATAAATCCTCACTCTTTTAAGTGTGGGCTGCACATAGTGACTTCCTTCCAAAGAGTACAATATGAAGGAGGGGGCGAGTAAGTTTACAGAGGAGAAGCCTGGCAAACACACTACCTCAGCCAGGTGACCAAGGTCAACATCAACAGTGATAAGGCATGTGGACAATATGTACCCTTGATATAATGTGATGAGAACGCCACTTAACCTCTCTGGTCTTCCTCTCAAAAACCCATAACCATAGTCAAATAATGAGAAACGCTTCAAATTCCAGTAGAGAGGCATTCTACAAAATACCTGACCAATTAAGGCCAGGTCAAGGTCATCAAAAACAAGAAAAGTCTGAAGAACTGAGAAAGCCAAAAGAACTCTAAGGAGACATGACAACTAAATATAATGCGATCCCAGACAGGATCCTGGAGCAGGAAAAAGCACATTACATAAAAACTAAGGCAATCTTAACAAAGTATGGACTTTAGTTAATAGTAATGTATCAATACTGGTTCATTAATTACGAGAAGTGAATCATACCAGTGTAAGATGACAATAATAGGGAAATCTGGAGGCGGGGTACATGAGAACTCTATTAACTTTGCAGTTTTTCTGTAAATGTAAAACTTTTCTAAAATAAAAAATTCACTTAAAAAGAGTGGACGGATACTTTCAACAGACTGCTACTCATTTGGTTAAGTCTCCTCTGATAGGATTCGAAGTTTACCACACAGGATTTACAAGGATCAATTACTTATAACTGGGAAGCCAATAAAATACACTGGATTTGTAATATACTTTGACTAAAACCGGAATGATAAACTTGTTAGGGAATCAAAGATAATGCCTAAATTTGTCTTCATTATTATCACCTTAAAAAGGGAAGAGTTAAGACTAAACCATGAATCTAGACATAACTGACAATGGGTGGGTTTGACTCATTGAATCACATTTCATGGCATATGATATATAGGTAAAATTAACAGTGACTAAAAATGAAATTACTGACAAAGGTTGCTCCTGGACCATCTGAGGTAGCCCAAGTACTGACTCGGCTCAAAGGAAATAAAACTGAAAACTCTTGATCTCACCCAAAATAACCATTCTGCACCCTGTCTGAACCTTGGGCTCTCTACTTAGCAGCCTACTCAAAACCACTACTGAAGGTAGTGTCCCGCTGCTAAGAAATAGACAACCCATAGGGCCTTTCGGGCCACCAAACGAGTAGCCAAGAAGGAGCCATGAAAGCCGCAAAAATGATCTCATTTGGAGCTCTCTGATCTTGACTCATCCCCCATCCCCACAGGAACAGCAGATCTTGGGCTCTTGCCTTTCGACTGGGCCCATTTTTAAAAGTAAGGTTATTTCACGAGCCTAGATAAATTTGCATTGGGGTTCTTTCCACATGGTCTCATACTTGAAATTGAAAATGAAGATTCAATGTTCCTCTAAAGCGAGAAGGCCTGGAAGCTTCTTGTTGGCGCACTAGTGGGTCTTCCTAGTCTTGGTTTTGTGGGTAGAATGCAGTTGCGTGTCAGAGTTTGAAAGAGACTGGGCCCACGGTTTCACAGGTCATGAGAAGAAAGGCATAGGAAATTCCCACGCGGGGCTCTACGCTTCACGTAAGGAGGAAATTCTCACAAGCTTCTCCCTTCCTCAGGTCCCAATGAGATCGCGTCACCTAGCCTCCTGACCCCACCACGATTCTTGCGACACATGGTGTTCTCTCGTCAATCCCTTCAGCCTCTAAACTAAGGGAGTCCCCAGAACGCAAAGCTGGGGGTTCTTTTCCTTTACTCTCTTCTTCCCTTCGGCGCCGCTTAGAGAACTATGCCACCGCGAGCTTAGAGAACTATGCCACCGCGAGCGCGGGAAAAAGGCGCCACACTCCAGGCACGAAGCGTCTAGGGGACGACGCCCGCGTGGGCGCGAGGGGGCGGGGCGCTCGCCTCCCGTGCACTCGCCCCGCCCCCGCGCGCGAGGACTGGCGCGCGCACGCGCTTTCCGGCGCGTCTGCTCCCGCGGTAGCGACCGACGGGTAGGGAGGTCTACCAGGGCGGTTTGCTCCGCTGTGTGGAGGAGAGATGGGGAGGCGCTGGGCTCGGGTTGAGATAGGAAGGAGTGCATCCCTCGACGCCTCCCGCGACGCTAAATAGCCGTGATGCGAGCGTGGGTCCTATTCTCCGCGGTGCTCTGGTACCTCGCAGGAGGTGGGGCTCCTCCCGCCCGGTCCCCAGGCCTCTCCGCCAGTGCAAGCTTCCCTGTCCTGCCTCCTTCCCTTCTCCCCGCCCCGCCCCACTCTGAGCCCTGGCTCCTCTTCTAACTAAAAAGTCAGTGGTTTCTTTCCTCTGCAGTTGGATGGCAGCGTTCTTCCTTATTCTATGAGAAAGGCTTCGTGTATGGCCTGCGAGGACACCCAGGTAATCAGGACCTCTTCCCGCTCAGGGCCTATCAGAAGAGCCGGAGGTGCCGTGGGCCTGCTAAGGTTCTTCCCACAGAGGGAAAGGAAGAGTGCAAACGTTTATTGAGCATCTGCCGTGTGCTTGGCAGTTTGCGAAGGTCGTTGCATCTTCCATCTTTTCATTACAGCGACCCTAGTTGTAAGACCTTGCCTAAAGCCACACAGCTCGTAAGGAGCAGGGATTCAATCCAGACCTCCTTCTCTGATGCCACTTCATTTCCAGGTGTCTTTGCCACTTATTAACATGCGAGGCCCACTCGGAGGAGTGATTTCAGGGCGGGAAGTCTCAATGTTTGGAAGAGCTTTATCCCTCCCCTTATTAACTAGAATGCCTATGCATCCTTTATAAAGCTCAGCTCAAATGTTCGTTTATCACTAAGGTGAAATTTTCCCATACTGCCCAAGGAAAATAGTCACGTAGCTAACTTGAGATAACTGAGCCAGTTTGTAGCATTTGTCATGTTTGGAATCCCTCCATGTTTGGATCCTCTCTCCTCTCCCTCCCCCAACCAAATTGTAGAAAGGTATCTTTATGTATTCAAAGCCTGGCATTCAGTAGGCTTTACAATTTATATTTTATGGGACTGCAGTGGTTCCAAGCACCCAAATCTGAAACAATAGGTAATTGCAGAACATCTTCCTAGTATGCCCATGTAGGCTTAATTATTGTTCCTAACCGAGGAAATTTACAGTTAAATATCAAGTTTCCCTTAGGGATGACCATTATCAACTTTAAATTTATTCCATTAACCCTTCCAAAAATTCTGTGATCTAAGCGAGTTCTGAATCTGTACATTAAAATGAACTTCTAAATGTGTTATGTACATCTTTATAAACAAAGCTATATCACAGAAAAAGTAAAAATGTTGTGACTAACAGTCTCAAGTTTTTAAAACTTACTATGAGAAGCAAAAAGGACTTCAGACTAGCATTCAACATGTTATAATAATATATTGATTTTTAAAATAGTGAAATCCAAAAAGAACTAATTAGTATCTTCGGGACAAAATGGTAGGAGTGTATTTTTTAATTTAATTCTGCTATGTAATGTAGTTACACATTATTTTATTTTGTCACAGTGAAAATATATGTAAAATTACATCAAGATACTCCAGTCCTTATCTGTATGGATGTTAAACATGCTAAGAAAGAAATAGTGGACCCCAGCTACATATGGATTGGGCCTAATGAAAATACATTAACAGGTAAATTTGATTTTAATATGTCCTTTTTTAATGATGTGAACATTTTTTTAGAAAAGCACAATCACTTATTGGAAAGAACAAATTGAAATTTATTTTTATTTTTTATTTTTTCTAGACAGGATCTTGCTCTGTTGCCTAGGCTAGAGTGCAGTGGCATCATAACTCACAACTTCAAACTCCTGGGCTCAATCAATCCTCCTGCCTCCGCCTCTTAAGTAGCTGAGACTACAAACATGCGCCACCACACCTGGCTACTTTTTCTACTTTTTGTAGAAACAGGGTCTAGCTATGTAGCTCTGGCTGTGAAATTTAATTTTAATGGCAGTTTCACTTGCTCCATGCTTAGGCAAATCATGTTATATCTTGGTCTATGCCTTATTTTCTCCTTATGCAAAAAGCGAAGCAGTGATTTTTGTGCCCTTCTTCCCAGAGCTGTATTAATTCACAAGTCTTTATAAAATCTAAAATTTGGCCAAGCTCAGCCTGTAATCCTAGCACTTTGGGAGGCCAAGGTGGGAGGATCGTTTGAGGCCAGGAGTTCAAGACCAGCCTGGGCAATAGGGAGACCCAGTCTCTACAAAAAATAAAAAATTAGCCAGGTGGGGTGGCGCATACTTGTAGTCCCAGCTACTTGAGAGGCTGAGGCAGGAGTTTGAGGTTGTAGTGAGCTGTGGTGATGCCACTACACTCTAGCCCAGGCAACAGAGCAAGACACTGTTTAAAACAAAAAAAAAAAGTCTAAAATTTATCCTGTAGCACCAGTAATAGGAGATGAAATATCTAATATGTAATTTTTCGTGATGTTAGAAGAGTGAGTTGGACTTTAAGCATTATTGACTAATCTCTATCATGTGAAGAAATTGTATCATTACAGGGCAATGTTATCTCACTTACTGAATTACTGGCATAAACCAATTGAAACTTGATGCCAAAAAACAAATCAAAGAAAATTAAAATATATTTCAAAAATGCACTTATCTCATGTGGTTTTCCATAGAGTAATATGACAGAGTTAAGATTTTGCTGGATTTTTGAGGTTGAGGTAGTTCATTAATTTTTTAAAACTTTTGTATGTATGTATTAATAATGTTTGAATTGTTGTATGTTAAATAGCCGAGTAATTTACTATTTCTGTTTAGGAAATCATCGAATAAATATAACTAAAACAGGAGAGCTGATAGTGAAAGATTTTGTGGAGCCTTTGTCTGGACTTTACACATGTACTTTTTCTTATAAAACTGTCAAAGCAGAAACCCAAGAAGAAAAGACAGTGAAAAAGAGATATGACTTTCTGATCTTTGGTAAGAATTTAAGCACTTTTTTTTTTTAAGAGACAGGATCTTGCTCTGTCACCCAGGTTGAAGTGCAGTGGGATGATCATAGCTCACCTTAATCTCAAACTCCTGATCTCAAGGGATTATCCTGCCTCTGCCTCCCAGGTAGCTAGGACTACAGGTGCACACCACCACGACCACTTAACTTTTTTTGTTGTTGGTAGAGGCAGAGTCTCGCTATGTTGCCCAGGCTGATCTCAAACTCCTAGCCTCAAATAATCCTCCTGCCTTGGCCTCCCAAAGTGCTGGCATTATAGGCACAAGCCACCACACCTGGCCAAGAATTTAGGCACACATTAACTTAGACGTTAACTTAGTTTGGATCAGAATTTAGTGTATGATTTCTTCATTTAGTGAAAACTTATCTGTTATAGGCAATTGTTTCCCCATTTCCCACTGTCTAGATATGTAAGCACAGTCTACTTTATCACAGTTTGGCAGGTAATTTAAAAACTGATGTTTATTTTCTTAAGTTCTATATAGATTCTTGTTATCAGCCCTTTATCGGATGTGTAGCATGCAAATATTTTCTCCCATTCTGTAGGTTGTCTATTCACTCTGATGATAGTTTCCTTGGCTGTACAGAAACTTTTTAATTTGATCAGGTTCCAATTATTTATTCTTGTTGCTGCTGTGATTGTTTTAGGGGTCTTCTTCATAAATTGTTTGCCTAGGCCGGTGTCTATAGGAGTTTTCCCAACATTTTCTTCTATAATTCTTAAGGTTTCACACCTTAGGTTTAAGTCTATCATCCATCGTGAGTTGATTTGTTGTGAGAGGTGGGGATCCAGTTTCAGTTTTCTGCATGTGGTTATCCAGTTTTCCCAGCACCATTTATTGAATAGGGATTCTTTTCCCCAATGTTTATTTTTGTCTGCTTTGTCAAAGATTAGATGACAATATGAGGATTAACAAGAAAAAATCAAACAAACCCATCAAAAGTGGGCAAAGGACATGAACCGAAACTTTTCAAAAGAAGACAGAATAATGGCCAGCAAACACATAAAAAAGTACTCAACATCTCTAATCATTAGGGAAATGCAAATCAAAACCACAATGAGATACCACCTAACTCCAATGAGAATGACCTTTATAAAAAGGTCCCAGAACAACAAATGCTGGTGTGAATGTGGAGAGATAGGAACACTCTTACATTGCTGGTGGGACTGCAAATTAGTACAACCCCTGTGGAAAGTAATTTGGAGATATCTCAAAGAACTAAAAATAGAAATACCATTTGATCCAGCGATCCCACTACTAGGCATCTACCCAAAGAAAAAAAGACATTCTATAATAAAGACATCTGCACTCGAATGTTTATGGCAGCACAATTCACAATTGCAAAAATGTGGAAACAACCCAAGTGGCCATCAATACATGAGTGGATTAATAAAATGTGATATATGTATATCATGGAATACTACTCAACTACAAAAAACAATGGTGATCTAGCACCTCTTGTATTATCCTGGATAGAACTTGAGCCCATCCTTCGAAGTGAGGTATCACAAGAATGGAAAAACAAGCACCACTTGTACTCACCATCAAATTGGTACTAACTGGTCAACACTAAGGTGCTCACATGGGAGTAATATTTGGGTGCCAGTCAGGTGGGAGGGGGGTGATGGGGGTGGGTAAACTCACAACTAATGGATGTGGCGTGTACTGTATAGGGAAAGGGCAAGCTTTAGCCCTGGCTTGGGTGAGGCAAAGGCATTATATATAACCAAAATGTTTGTACCCCCATAATATTCTGAAATTAAAAAAACTGATGTTTAATTCTATAAAGGCATATTAATGATACTTTCACTGGACTGTGCTGACAGAAATGACACTTTCTTCAAATTCAGACCCTCTCCAAAAAGTCCTATTTTTTTTCTTGATACTGTTAACTTATCTATATAACCAACCCACAGAAGCTGTTTCACCTCTTGTACTAAGTAGATAATATATCAGATGAAAATAACACTTTTCATTAAAGTTATTAGTTTTGTATATTTTTGTGAGGACAAATTGATAAGACATTTTATTAGATAAGTAAAAGTTTCTGTGCTGATTTGCAAGATTGATGGGATTTAGCATTGCATGTTATTTGAAAATTGTTTGGTAGAGGAAATTACTGCTAAACACAATTGTTTTTATCCTCATCTTTTTTTTAAGCCTATCGGGAACCTGATTATTCTTATCAGATGGCTGTACGTTTTACCACAAAGTCTTGTGTAGGAAGATACAATGACCTTCTCTTTAGAGTACTGAGGAAAATCTTGGATAATCTCATGTCTGATTTGTCATGCCATGTAATAGAACCATCATATAAATGCCATTCTGTTGAAATTCCAGAACGTGGCCTCATACATGAGCTATTTATAGCGTTTCAAGGTAAAAAATTTTTAACATTTCTTTAATTTTATGAATTTAGTCCTGAACCATGATAGATTACAAAATTAATTACCATATTAATATGAGATATCTTATAAATAATAGGTCTTAAATATTTGTTAAGCACTAAAGTATATCGTTGGTCATAGCCTAGTTATGGTTTTGAAAATTAACACACTAATTATTTACCTTCAAATATGACATATTATCATTTTGAAATCAATATTTTATTAATATAGCTTTTAACTATGGAGCTAATATTTCACTTATAATTTCTTACAGAATTTTAAATTGTGTTTTTGAGAACTTAATAAAAAGGAGTAACCAAACCAAATTTATTTATTTTAAAGCCTTGTAGTTACTTACATTAGCCCCCAGATGGAGTGAAATCATAATGTATAAATTATTCAAATCATGTACCTTACTTTATTATGAGGATTAGATAGCTGGATCAAATGCATGCCTGCATGCGTACTAAACTCAGCATTTGGAGCTTTATTGAAATGTTTGGAACTTTTTAGAATCCTTTTGTGAACCTATCATTTTTTCCACTCCAGTTAATCCTTTTGCACCAGGGTGGAGAGGTACATGCAATCAATCTGTTGACTGTGAAGATACCACTAATTATAATGTCCTCCAGGTAAGAATTTCATTGTAAGGAGGAAGTATTTGGGTAGTCGATAAAACTATTTAAAAATTTTTAGAAATCATTTTATTGAAAAGTTTCTTCAGAAATCTATTTCTCCACGTTGTGAATATTTATAAATAATAAAAACATTTCTAAGGACTAAGTATAAATTATTCTTTTTAAAAAAACTTAAATATAAAGTATTATTGATTTTTGGTTTCAGTTTTTTAAACTGAGATTATAATATTCTTGGCTGTTCAAGATGTGTTATTTTGGAATAGTATATCTAGAATATTATATAGCTCTCCAGGTACTATTATGTATTTTGTCTATAACAGAAGGATGGGTCCCTGATGATTAAACAGCACCTTGAAGAAGCACCTCACAATCATGTCATCCTAGGCTAAAACAATGGTTCTTCCCAAATTGTATCTATGCAATGCATAATAATTGCTCTCTCCTCTGCCATCCTAAGAGACTAAGGACATAGTCTTAAAAATCCCTTCACTCCCCTGGTCTAGTTCCTGAGCCCATACCATTAATATGCATGATTTATAAGAAGCATGATTTTTTATTTAATATTAATATTATTATTAAATTAATTATTCTATGCTCAAAAAATAAAATTTACATCATTAGTTTGTAGTGCTGATTAGAGAAGAGTCTTATTTTCCATTTCAATTGACTCTTTTTTCTTGATGATCATATGGAATTGGAAATAATGAACTCCCAGTTATCTATATATGAATAGGCACATTGCAAGTAATTTCAAGACAAGTTTTTTTTACCTTAATTTAATTGTTCTTAACCATTGTACGTATGAATTAACAATAGTTGGTAAGGTCAAGGCTAGACTAATTTTAGTATTGATACAACTTTTCAGGAACTTACCTGCTATATAAAATATGGCATGCTTATTGCTTCTGATACTGGAGGAGAAATTTGGTTTATGGTTTAGTAATTGTATTCTTCTCTGATATTTTTAAATCTTAGGCAAGAAATAGAATAGAAGAATTTTTTCGGAGCCAAGCAGATATTTTCTCCCACAGCTTGAATAAAACTCTACCAGCTATGCATTTTGTAAACCACAGTTTTCAAGTAGAACGTCTGGATAGCTGTCGACCAGGCTTTGGAAAAAATGAAGGTCTACACAGTAATTGCGCTAGCTGTTGCGGTAATTATAAAATATAAATATCTAAGTATTTAGATCTTACAGTCAGAAGAGTAAGTGAGTAATTAGGATAATTGAACTGAATCTTTACACTGACTCTCTTACCAAAAAATTATATTTAGCTAAAGGGAAGTAAAAATTCAAAGCCCTAAATTTCTAAATATAATTATCTTAATATATATTAATTCTTTCTAAATTACTCTCCTGTATTACAAAACATTCTGTGGTGTTCTGACTTAAGCTACTGTGCTATGAAGGAAAGTAGAATGGTCCTACCTAGAAAACAGAGAACTAGGAAATAGGAACTAGAAAATTAGAAATAGAAACTCACAAATGGGGCACTATAGAAGATACTGTAAAATGCTGATACTAAAGGAAAAAATGGGATTCCAACTTTCTCCTGTCTTTAAGATCATCAAATTACAAAGTTTGAAACTCATAATTTTCCACAACTTAATTAGGTGAACATTACTCAGTATAATATAGAAATGATGTGATATTGAAGGCAAATTTTATATTATTGGAATAAAATACCTCTAAGTTATAGAGGTATAAAATACCTCTAAATTATAATCAACTATGTGTTTTCCTCTGCAGTGGTTTGTAGTCCTGGGACTTTTAGTCCTGATGTTGCTGTTATTTGTCAGAGCTGCATTTCCATCCATGTGTACGGAGCTAAATCTTGCCCATAAACTTCAAACAAAAATCAGCAATATAAAGACTAGAGGTGAAAGCATTGTTACTCGCTTGTGGAGGTAGGGGACATAAAATGATTTGTTCGTATCCCAGAGCATCATAGATAGTTAAGTAAGATCTGTAAGACCAAAACACTGGAAAACATAGATTTTAGAAATTTAAAAAGTTGACATAGCATTTCTAAGAAGGAATTTAACGCAATATCTCCAATGTACAAAGAAAGTTTTAAGTATTAGTAGATGATTTTTAATGAAATATGTTTTGTTGTTTAGAAACTGAATCTGTTGCTCTGTACCTAAGACTATACATTAAGGTCTAGAAGAATAGCAAAGTATAATACAATAAAAATTTTATACTTTCCATAAATTAATTTGTTTGAAATCACTCATATGATATAAAGGCATGTATTTATAATTAGAACCAAACAAATTATTTATTTTGGTCTGTTTGCTTTTAATTTATTTTTTTAAATAATGGACTTTGTTTTTTCAGTATAGTTTAGATTTATAGAATAATCGAGCAGATAATACATAAAGTTCCATATATGCACCCCACCCCATACCCTCATCCCTTCTCAGTTTCCCCTATTATTAACACTTGTGTTAGTGTAGCACATTTGTTATAATTAATGAACCAATATCAATACATTGTTATTAATTATAGTTCATAGTTTACATCAAGGTTCATTCTTTGTGTTGTAAGGTTCATTCTTTGTGTTGTAAGGTTCTTTGGGTTTTGACAGGTGCATAGTGACGTGTGTCCACCATTTCAGTTTCATACAGAATAGTTTCACCACCCTAAAAATCCCCTGTGCTTCACCTGTTTAACCCTCCCACCTGAGCCCCTGGCAACCACTGATTTTCTTACTATCTCTGTCATTTTGCCTTTTCTAAAATGTCATACAGTTGAAATTATACACTATGTAGACTTTTCGGACTGGCTTCTTCCACTTAGCAATATGCATTTAAGGTTCTTCCATCCCTTTTCATGACTTGATAGCTCTTTTTTATTGCTGAATAATATTCCATTGTTTAGATATATCATAAAGTGTTCATCCATTCACCCACTGAGGGAAATCTTGGTTTCTTCCAGTTTTTGGTGATTATGAATAAAGCTGCTATAAACATTTGTGTACAGGTTTTTGTGTGGACATGTTTTCAACTCCATTGGGTAAATAACCTAGGAATGTGACTGCTGGCTCATATGGTAAGACTGTTTAGTTTTGTAAGAAGCTGCCAAACCATCTCCCAAAGTGGTTTACCATTTTGCATTTCCACCAGCAATGAGTAAGTGTTCCTCTTGTTCCTTATCCTCCCCGGCATTTGGTATTGTCGGTTTTTGGATTTTGGCCATTCTAATAGGTGTATAATGGTATTTTATTATTGTTTTAATTTGCCATTCCCTAATGACATCTTATGTTGAGCATCTTTTCGTATGGTTATTTGTCATCTATATATCTTCTTTGGTGAGGTATCTGTTCAGATCCTTTGCCCATTTTTAAATTGCGTTGTGTATTCTCTTGTTGTTGAAGTCTAAGAGTTCTTTGTGTATTTTGGATACAAGTTTTTTATTAAATACAAGTTTGCAAAGATTTTCTCATATTCTTTGGCTTTCTCTTCTTTCCTTTAACAGTGTCTTTCACGAGCAGAAGTTTTCAATTAAATTTAATTGTTTTTCCTTTCATAGCCCTCATTCAAAGCCATGAAGTATTTAATTTTAATAAAGTCCAACTTAATGATTTTTTCTTTCTTGGATTGTGCTTTTGCTATCATATCTGGAAACTCATCACCAAACCCAGGGTCACCTAGATCTTCTCTTATTATCGTCTAGAAGTTATATAGTTTTATGTTTTATATTTAGGTCTAAAATCCATTTTTAGTTAATTTTTGTGAAAGGTATATAAGTTGTATATCTAGATTTATTTTTTTGCACATAGATATACAGTGGTTCCAGTACCATTTGTTGAACAGACTATTCTTCCTCCACTGAATTGACTTTGCTCTTTTATCAAAGATCAATTAACTGTATTTGTGACGGCTCTCTATTCTACCGTATCATCAATTTGTTTACTCTTTTGTCAACACTGTGTTGATTACTGGATATTAGTCCTAAATTTGAGTAGTATCAGTCCTCCAACTTTGTTCTTCAGTATTGTGTTATTCTAAGTCTTTTTGCCTCTCCATATAAACTTTAGAATCAATTTTTTGATAATCATGAAATAACTTGCTGAGAGTTTCATTGGGATTGATTGCATTGAATCTATAGTCAAGTTGGGGAGAACTGACATTTTTTGTTTGTTTGTTTTTGGTTTTGTTTTTGCTTTTGTTTGAGACAGGGTCTCACTCTGTTACCTAGGCTGGAGTGCAATGATGCAGTCATAGCTCACTGCAGCCTTGAACTCCTAGGCTGAAGTAATCCTCCTACCTCAGCCTCCTAAGTAGCTAGGTGCCCACTACCACACCCGGCTATTTTTTTTTTTTTTTTTTTGTAGAAATAGGGTCTCACTCTTTTGCCCAGGCTGATCTTGAACTCCTCAAGAGTTCAGGCCGGGCGCGGTGGCTCACACCTGTAATCCTAGCACTCTGGGAGGCCGAGGCGGGTGGATCACTCAAGGTCAGGAGTTCGAGACCAGCCTGAGCAAGAGCGAGACTCTGTCTCTACTAAAAATAGAAGGAAATTATTTAGACAACTAAAAATCTGTATAGAAAAAATTAGCCGGGCATGGTGGCGCATGTCTGTAGTCCCAGCTACTCGGGAGGCTGAGGCAGTAGGATTGCTCGAGCCCAGGAGTTTGAGGTTGCTATGAGCTAGGATGACGCCACGGCACTCTACTGCAGGCAACAGAGTGAGACTCTGTCTCAAAAAAAAAAAAAAAAAAAAAAAGAGTTCAACTGAGGCTTCAAATGATCCTCCTGCTTTGGCCTCCCAAAGTGCTGGGATTACAGGCATGAGCCACCACACCTGGCCAGAATTGACATGTTAACAATATTGAGTCTTCCCATCCATGAAGATGGAATTATCTCTTCATTTATTTAGCTCTTCTTTGATTTCTTTCATTGAAGTTTTGTAGTTTTCCTCATATAGATCCTGTACATGTATAGTTAATGTCTAAACTTTTAATTTTTTGGTGTTGATGTAAATGGTATTGTGTTTTTCATTTCAAATTCCAAGTGTTTATTGCTGGTATATAGGAAGGTAATTGGTTGTTGTATATTAACTTATATCCTGTGCCCTTATTGTAATTACTTAGTTTCAGGAATTTTTTTGTCTATTCTTTGAGATTTTCTACATAGACAATCATGTCATCTGCAAACAAAGACAGTTTTATTTCTTCCTTCCCAATCTGTATACCTTTTATTTCCCCTTCTTGTCTGATTGCATTAGCTAAGACTTCCAGTACAGTGTTGAATAGGAGTAGTGAGAGGAGACATCCTTGCCTCATTCCCAGTCTTAGAGGGAAAGCATCACAGTTTCTCACCAGTAAGTATGATGGTAGTTGCAGGCATTTTGTAGACTTTCTTTGTTAAGTTGAAGAATCTCCTCTGTTCCTAGTCTGCTGAGAGTTTTTATCATGAATGGGTAGTAGATTTTGTCAAATGCTTTTTCCGCGTTTATTCATATGATCACATGATGTTTCTTTAGCCTGTTAATATGATGGATTACATTAACTCATTTTCAAATGTTAAACCAACCTTGCATATTTGGAATAAATCTTTATTGGCCGTGTATATAAATCTTTTTTAAATTGTTGGATTTAATTTACTAATATTAAGTATTTTTGCATTTATGTTCGTGAGACATTTTGGTCTGTAGTTTTATTTTTTGTAATATCTTTATCTGGTGTTTGGTTTTGTTTTGTTTTGAGACAGAGTCTTGTTAGAGTGCCACAGCATCAGCCTTGCTCACTGCAACCTTAAACTCCTGGGCTCCAGTCATCCTCCTGCCTCAGCCTCCCGAGTAGCTGGGACTATAGGCACGTGCCACCATGCCCAGATGATTTTTTCTATTTTTAGTTGTCCGGCTAATTTTTTTATATTTTTAGTAGAAATGGGGCCTCGCTCTTGCTGAGGCTGGTCTTGACCTCCTGACCTCAAGCGATCCTCCCACCACGGCCTCCCAGAGTGCTAGGATTGCAGGTGTGAGCCACCACGCCTGGCCTTTATCTGATTTTAGTGTTAGAGTAATCCTGACCTCATAGGATGTGAGTTAGAAAGTGTTCTGTCTGCCTGTTTTTTTGGGAAGAGACTCTAGAGAATTGGTATAATTTCTTCCTTTAAAATCATAGTTAAGGGGCTAGAATTAGTGTGGTAGGCAGAATAAGTGCCCCTCAAAGATGTCCACATCTTAATGCACAGAACCTGTGAATATGTTAAGTTACATGTAAAGGGGAATTGAAGTTGCAGGCAGAACTAAGATAGCTAAACCTTAAAATAGGGAGATTATCCTGGATTATCTTGGTGGGCCCACTAATCACAAGGGTCTTTATAAAAGAGGAAGAGGGGGCAGATGAGAATCAGAGAAAGAGATCGGATGACAGAAGCAGGATGGGAGAGATGTTATGCTGTTGCCTTTTAAGAGGGAGGAAGAGAGCCATAAACCAAGGAATGTGGGTTGTCTCTAAAAACTGGAAAAGGAAAGGAAATGGTTTCTGTAGAGCCTCCAGAAAGGAACACAGTCCTTCCTTTTAGTCCAGTGAGACTCGTGTTAGATTTCTGACCTATAGAACTCTAAAATAATAAATTTATATTGTTTTAAGCCACTAAAAAAAATCCTGATACTTTCTGTCTTGGAAGGTTATTAAGTTTTTATTCAATTTCATTAGTAGACCTAGGCCCATTCAGATTATCTATTTCTCCTTGTGTGAATTTTGGTACATTATATCTTTCGAGGAATTGATCGATTTCATCTAAGGTATCAAATTTATGGGTATAGAATTGTTTGTAATGTTCCTTCATTATCCTTTTAATGTCCATGGAGTTAGTAGTGATGACCCCTG